TGGGTGTTTGGAGTCTGGATTTGAGGTTAGAGTAGAAGTTAATAAGGGAGGCCGATGCCTAGAGGTGTATTGCTCCCCTGAAGTGAGAGCTCTGTGGTTAAAGTCACATTTGACTCCCCAAAAGAAAAACATCTGAAACTTTAGGTGATCAATCACATTTGACTCCCCAAAAGAAAAAGAACCATTTGAAACCTTAGATGATTGTGAGCTCTAGTTCCTTCTGCTTCACCCAAGAACAGCTGTGGAATAGTCACTCCTTGCTCATCTTTTGTGTGTTTTATCGAAACCATAAATGATTTGGGAATAACCCCACACTCCTGTACTGATTCTCTACTTAGCTATAGCTTCTGTTTGTTTGTTTCGGTTCGTAGACCAGCCTGGCCTGGAACTTAGAAATAAATCTGCCTGCCTCTGCCTTCCAGGTGCTGGGGTAAAGTTGTGTGTCACCACACCAGGCAGGCTGGTTGTTTTTGAGGCAGGGTTTGCTGTGTAGCTCTGGCTTGTCAGGTAGGATTATGGCCTAGTCTGGTCACACCGAGTTCTTCTGGTTTCTTGTTTGCTGTTTTTGTTTGTTTTAATCAGCGTGAGCTGCCACATGTGTTTTATCAGACCTTCTGTCTTTAAAACTACATTTTTATTTTGGGAGTGCATGTATGCGTGCGTGTATGTACTCATAAGTGAAAGCTAGAGGACACCTTACCCTTCCATCTGAATCTTCCATCATATGGGTCCTCAGACTTCCTGTGCGCTTGGTAACAAATGCCCTTACCCGCTGAGCCATCCTGCCAGCCTGATCTCCCTACTACTTCTTTTTTTTTTTTTTTTTTTGGCAGCACAGAAAGTGGCCTTTATTTTATCATTTGTAGAAAACGGGCATTTAGATAGGAACGTTCATATTAAAAAATTATCAGCAGTAGTTCTGAGCACTCAGCAATGCTGACAGATTCCATGTTGTTGACAGTAGCAAAGCTGTTACTCCATGCTTACAAAGCAAGGCCTGTCCCTAGAGAGCCTGTGTGTCACAGCTCAGGACCCATTTGTGACTGTGTCTTCTTCCATCTCTTCTTCACCATCATCACTTGGACCTGGTCTGCGCTCTCTGCCAGGTATTTGGCCAGACTGCAGCAAGCCCTTCAGCCTCTCAACCTCAGCCAGCGTAGATGCATTTGCTATGGCGTTCTTGATTGCTTCTACATCCCCTGCAGATGGCCCACCTTTCTTTTTGTCACTTGGCAAACCAGCACCTGGATTAAAAGTTTTGCTTCTCCTGGCAATATCCTTTGCAAGCTGTGCACCCCGTTTGCCCTTGAACATTTTCTCTGCTTCCTGACGCTCTTTGAGTTTCACTTTCTGAAAGTCCAGTACTCTGACTTGTGGGACTTTGTAGATCACATAAAGTCGGTAATGCTTCTTATTTGTTACAGGATTTCTTAGGATGCTTAGATATGTCAGTGATTTGAGAGATGCCAAAGGATCCAGATCACCCAGTTCCACTAGACTGTTGTTGGTGAGGATGAGTTCTCAGACGGGGAGAGCCTGATCAAGTCCCTCCTATACGGCAAATTCTGTTGTTCACTAATAATGTTTTCAGCCTTCTCAATAAAGGAAAACCATCCAGTTTCCTGATCTCATTGTCAGAAAAATCAATAGCATCAAATTGGTCTAAGGTAGCACCCAGATTTTCAATGACAGGAATTTTATAACCTGTAAGAGGGGAAAAATACAAACAACAAATATTAATATAAATGAAAGGTTCTGAAAATAGTAGGGGTATTTGATGGTAATTAGACTTGAAGTATTCTTTCAAGAAGTATTAAACCGGCACCGGTGCCATGTCAAGTACTGCACAAAAACACTGAAGAGAAACGACAAACAAGTTACCGGTCCTTAGAACCATGAAGTGTGTGGTTGTGTAGTAGAAGTGAGGAGGTTGAGGGCAAGAACAAGAAGCGCATCCTTCCTAATACTGGTGTCCACTGTTTATAAGAACACCTACAAGGCACTCACACCGCTCAAAGTCCTTGAGTTATAAGGCTTGCTTACTGGCAGTACCCAAGCCTTGCTCAGGCACTGGTGACTAGCGTGCTCAACCTTTCACATAACTCGGCTGTATAGCCTCGTCTATCCTGCCTACCCTCCTCTGCACCAGAGCCGAAAACAGTTTATATAAGCCCCAAATCACACTGCAAGCATCCCCTTGACTATCTAACGGGCATCAGCATCGAGCTACACACCAGAGGAAGAAGAGACATTTAGTACACAACTCAGTTGTGAAGGAGTCCAATAAAATATGGTACCAAAATAACCTTTCTCAAGGCTGCATGGTCTTCAGAGATGCGGCAGAGACCAAAAATGTGCCAAGACAGTAAAAGGGTCCAGATGCTCCTCTAACAGATTGAAAGCATTAATTTCAACAAACGTACTAGGATTTCCTAGAGGTCAGCAAGGGATATTAGCAAACGGCAGAGCACAGTCCCCTGAGACTGTGGTTGCCTCAGGTCATAGTTACATAATCTTAAGCCTAATAACTCTAATAGCTTTCAAAGCCATCTCTTGAAAAGTTAGGTTGATAATTACACTTTTAATGTTACGCCGGGTTACTTGTTGTTGTCTTGTTTCATTCGAGACAGGAGCTTAGGCTGGCCTCGAACCCAGAGACCCGCCTACCACTACCTTCTGAGTGCTGGGATTAAAGACGTGTACAACCACCGCCGGGCTAATGCTGTTTTTGAAAACCAACTCAACAGGTGAAGGGTGCCCACCACCCCTCACATGGAAGTAATGATTAAGTCTCAGGTCAAACAGTTCAATGTTGAAAACACCTTCATAACAGTGAATTAGTGGGGGCTGCGGATCTGGTTCTTTGGGGCGAGTGCTTGTTTGCCTATCACGCACAAAGTCCTGGCCTCATCCGTAGCATCATATAAACATTTAAACCCAGCACCTCGGGAAGTCAAGGCAAGAGATCGTAAGTTCGAGAAAATCCTTAACTACATAGCGGTTTGAAGCCAGCTCTGGGGACAGGAGACCCTGTCTCAAAAGCAAATGAACAAATCCGAAAGGGGATTACTGTATAATTAAGATAACTTTCACTTTTATCTAATCTACCCTCACGTGTCATATGAACGAACTTGCTAAAAACCATCCTGTTTTACAGGTCGCCATCCTGTAGGCACCAATTTCTATTTGCCTGGCCCTCAAACAGTTCAGGCTGCTGAACGAGCCGCGCAAAGCCTAACGGGTACGGACCCGGGAAGGAATTGAGGAGCCGTGTCTGCTAGCTGGAGCGGGTAGGAGACGGCTCCAAAGGGCCCTGGCGGAGTCGATGCGAGGTGACCCGGACCCGGGCGGGAGGCCCACGGGCCGGGCTCCGGCCTCGGCGCACGCGGCGGGGCCGCTTCTCTCCGGCGCGCGCCGAGCCGGGACGCAGCCCGCGCTCCGCCTAACTCACCGCGAAGGTCCAGCTCGCGGTCCCGCACAGCATTGGTGTACTGCGCCGCCTGCTCGATCAGCTCCGCCGTCAGCTTCACCATCCTGCCGCCGCCAGAGTCCCCTCACCTCGGCCACCNTTTTTTTTTTTTTTTTTGTCTTCTTCACTGTGTAGCCCTGATTGTCCTGGAACTCATTCTGTAGGCCAGGCTGGCCTTGAACTCACAGAGATCTACTTCTGCCTCCAAATGCTGGGATTAAAGGCCTGTACCACCTCCACCGGATGTTTAACCTTTTTCTCTTTGAGTTTTTTTTCCTTTGAGACAGAATCTCACTATGTAGCCATGGTTGTCTTGGAGCTTGGTATGTAGACCAGGCTTACTTCTGGTAAGTAAGTAGGCCTGTGTCTGCCTTCAAATGTCTTAAAATTTTTTGAGTATCCTTACCTTACATGGCATGAAGAAAATAGCAAGGGCATATACAGGGTGCGTATAAAGTAAATAGATGAATAAAGAAGATAGCAAGGAAGGCCAGGTGTGGTGGTACAGAAAACTGGATAGAGAGTTCAAGGCCAGCTTGGGTAATGTGAGACCCTGTCCTAAAACAAAAGGCAAGAAGATTAAAATTACAAGTTTTTTTTTTCTGTCTTTTCTTTGTGTTTTTTTTTTTTTTTTTTTTTTTTGCCAAAGATAAAAACATTGGTGAGGTACACTGTTTTCTCTATAGTCAACCAAGTGGAGGGAATCTCTCTTTATTCCAAACTAAGCCCAACATTCTGTTCTAGAAATGGTGTTAAGATAGATGAAGTAGCCAAGCAGAGTTCTGAGGGGAGGAGAAGAGGCCTTTCTTAGAATATATGACTAACTAGAATGTATCAGCTCATCTCTGCATAGTGTAGGTTAACAAATCTCTTGGCTGGGAGGTGGTGGCTCACGCCTTTAATCCCAGCTCTTGGGAGGCAGAGGCAGGTGGATTCCTGTGAGTTCAAGGCCAGCCTGGTCTACAAGGACAGGCTCAAAAGCTACAGAGAAACCCTGTCTCTAAAAATCAAAACAAAACAAACCCCCCCCCCAAAAAAAACCAAACAAATTTCTTAAACTGTAAGTTCTCATTGACAAGGACCTGTATAAAAGGGGCTATATTTTTATTTATTTATTTGACCTTCAGGGACCATTTTGTTAGAGTTTGAGAGAAAACAATAGATCAGGCAAGCTGGAAATTCTAGTATTTGCTAGGGGAAAGATGGAGAGCAACTCAAATTTTTATTTGTGTGTGTGTGTGTGTGTGTGTCTGTCTGTCTGTCTGTCTGTCTGTGTTAGTGTATGCCACATGACCTGCAGTGGTCAGAAGATGGCATAGAATCTCGGAACAGAAATTACAGGTGGTTCTGAACAATCATTGCAGGTGCTAGAAATGGAATTCCCCTCCCTGAAGAACAACAGCCAGTAACTGTTGAGCCCCCAAAGTCATGCCTTTGAAGTTAGCCATAGAGGTCAGAAAAACTGAGCAAGTTCAGTGTTTCAGAGGAAGTGTCACTCAGTTTTGGGCCAGCATCTGAACAAAAGAAAGAAAGAAAAGGTAGAGTTATTACTATTTTTTTAATTTTGTCTCAGGCAGACTTCGTGAAGGAAGCTTCATTATCAGCTGCCTATATTTTTATTTTGCTGGTTGAGGGAAGTGCTGTTTGCAGTTGATACTTGATTTGAAATCATAAAAGCTAAACCTTTTCTGTTGAACCTTGCATGCATTTTGTTCACATACACCCCCTCCCCAAGTTCCGAGATGGAATGCAAGCATAATGTAGTCAAGCTCTACCACCCTGGAATATGTGTATATTAATCTGCAAAACTCCAGATAGCTAGAACCAGAGTGGAGTGTGATGACATATGCCTGAGTTGCCAGATTCCCAGAACTCAGTCAGAAGCAGGAGTATTGGCACAACTTTTGAGGCCAGTCTGGTTTGCATAGTTTCATGCTAGCTAGGACTATAGAGCAAAAGACTCCCCATCACAAAAGAAAAACGCAAACTTTGGACATAGAATTGGGAGGTGGCAATCTGTCAAAAAAAAAAATCTTAAATGCCTCTTGACTATGGCTGACTGATTCAGAAGGCTCAGGTCTTTTAAGAAAAGACTTGGCAGCTGGCAGCCAGCAGCGGTGGCACACGCCTTTAATCCCAGCACTCAAGAGGCAGGAGGATCTCTGTGAGTTCAAGGCCAGCCTGGTCTGCAGAGCAAGTTCCAGCACAGCCAGGGCTATGCAGAGAAACCCTGTCCCGAAAGAAGAAAAGAAAAAAAACTTCCATCACTCCTGGGAGCCAGAGGTAGGCTAATCTCTAAATTCAAGACTATCCTATTCTACAGAGTGAGCTGCAGGACAGCTAGGGCTACATAGTAAGACCCTGTCTTGGGGGAAAAAAAAGACAGATTTTTTTTTTTAATAATTTTGGGCAAAATATTGGTGCCAAGGAATATGGTGAAATTTGCTTTTATGGTACTGAAAGTAAAAGTTCATTAGAAGAAAATTTTAATTTCACCTCCTCATTTTCTAAATTATGCAATTGAGGTTTGAGAGTTTTACTAGAGACAGGGGTGATTGAATGCTATTAAAAAGGATCTTAGTAAACTTATGGCTCATTCCTGGCAATATATTGGCTATTAGGTGACAGGATTGGTAGATGAAACTAAAACAAATGTTTTCTGCATTTCTTTGGTGAATCTGTGGTAGTGGAGCTTGCCAGGGCATGCATGCATATTCAGAAAATGGCTGTGGGCTGCAGAGGAGTTGGTCCTCTCCTTCTACCGTGGGAATTCTGCGGATTGAATTTGGGTCATTGGACTTGATGGTAAGTGCCTTTACCTGATGCACCATTTTGCTGTCTCAGTTCAAAGTTGTTGTGTGTGTGTGTGTTTCGAGACAGGGTTTCTTTGTGTAACAGTTCTAGATGTCTGGGAACTTGATTTGTAGACCAGGCTGGCCTCTAACTCACAGAGATCTGACTTCCTCTGCATCCTGTGTGGTGGGATTAAAGGTGTGTGCCACTACTACCTGGTTCAAACTACTTTTGAGCTTTTATTTTTAGGTCCTTCCTTGACTTTTCTGACTTTTTCTGTTCTGTGAAAGGAAAATTGATACTTGCTGGAAAACAAAAATTGAGCTTTTCTTTGCAATGTGGCTTGGTTTTAATTGCTTTGATTCAGTTACTGTTATGGAGGTAGTTTTGGTCCAGTCCCTGTTCCCTCCACTTTTGAGACAGAGTCTGATATATCTAAACTGGCCTCAAATTCACTTTGTACTAAGGTAGATCTTGAGCTCCTGGTCCCCTGGGTGCAAGAATTAAAAGTGCACTGTCCAGGTGTTTTTGTTTGTTTGTTTCAGGGGGTGGAGGGTGGTGGGTAGTGGTGTTTCAAGACAAAGTTTCTCTGTGGAACTCTGGCTGGTCTGGAACTCACTCTGTAGAACAGGCTGGCCTCCAATACAGAGATCCTCCAGTCTCTCTGCCTCTCAAGGGCTGGGACTAAAGGTATGCAGCACCATCCCTGCCAGTTCTAAGTTTAAATTATTGTTTAACCTCTTGAAGAACAGTCTTCCTATTTAGCCTCTGTTGGCCTTGGGCTTGAGATCGCCTTGGCATTATCATTGTCTTTCTTCTTTTAACATTCATTGTCACTTAGAGCTGACTGTGATCTCCAGCTCTTCATGAAGCATGTTGATATTTCTGAGTGTTATTTTTTGGGGGGAACATACTGTGCCTCCTGCCTGAAGGGTATAGTTAGAATGATTTTCAGTATTCCAGATTAGGGGAGCAAAGAGGTGTTCTGGATATTTCAACAAACTAGCTTTTTTTTTTAATTGTTGGAGAGAGATTTTTAGTTTTTGAATTTGTTGGGTTTTTGTTTGTTTTTTTCTGAAACTAGCTTCTAAGAGTTAGTATTTTACTTTGTGAAACATTTAAGTTGTGTTATTGGTAAGTATTGAATTGAGTCTCTGAAATACCTTGTCTATGACCTGTTCAGGCAAAACTAGTTGTCTGAAGAATGCACGTCCGGCTAGCCTCAAGCATCCACAAATTATATGTGTACTTCAAACACTGAAGTCAGTCCCACAGTGTCTTTTAGATTCTCGACTGGTGGATGATGTCATCTCTTCTCCAAAGGAAATGCTTCTCCTCTGAAAGTGCTGGGAGAGGCTTTGCTATTGAGGCCAGCCCTGTTTTGTTCCACATACCAGAGAGAGCCCAGCTCACTTCAGAACTACATACTATATGATGTCTCTGTTTAAATTATAACCTCTTTATTTTTAGAGATTCACTTTTATTAAATTTATGTGTATCTGTGTGTGTATGTATGAGTGAATGCCATGTCCAAGGAAGCCAGAAATGGGCATTTGAATCTCTTGGAGGTAGAGTTGCAGGCTGCCCCCTGTTGTAGATTCTAGGAATAGAACTCAGGTCCTGGAAGTATAGCAACTGCTCTTAACCCTTGAGCCATCCCTCCAGACCCAGTTATCACCCTCTGAAATATACTGTTTTCACACTTCTCAGAATCATGTTGATAATTTTTTTCTTCTGTTTCTTTTTTGTGGTTGTTTTGTTGTTTCGAGACAGGATTTTTCTGTGTAATAGTCCTGGTTGTCCTGGAACTAGCTGTGTAGACCAGGTTGGCCTCGAACTCACCAAGAGCTACTTACCTGCCTCTGCCTCCCGAGTGATGGGATTAAAGGTGTGCGTCACCACTACCTGGTTCTCCTCTTTCTTTTCTGACATTTTTTCTTTTATAAATTTATAATATTATAATTTTATAAATATTATTTTTAGTATTATGGGTGTTTTGCCTTCATGTACCATATATGAAAGTGACCACAGAGGCCAGAGAGGGTATTGGATTCCCTGGAAATGGAGTTACAGACAATTGTGACCTACCATATAGGTGGCTGGGTCCTCTGGAACAGCAGCCAGTTCTCTTTAACTGCTGAGCCATCCATTGTCGGCCCCTCCATTTTATTGTTAGTATTATTTTAAAGATTTATTTATTCATTATATATACAGTGTTCGGCAGGCCAGAAGAGGGCACCAGATCTTACCACAGATGGTTGTGAGCCACCATGTGGTTGCTGGGAATTGACTCAGGACCTCTGGAACAGCAGGCACTGCTGTTAACTGTTGAGCTATCTCTCCAGTCCCTATTATTATTTTTTAAGTCTTCTAATTCTTCTTAATCTGATAAAGTTTCAGATTGCCTGGTATTACCAAGCAAGTTTGTAGAGATTAAGAATGGTGATTGGCAAAGTGGCTGGAAGCAGTCCTTCAAGTATCTTTTCCTCCACAAACACAAGACAGGGTGCTACAAAGGACTAAACTGGTAGAGAGTTACACAGAAGTTTTAAACAGCTAGGTGCTGTGGTGCATACCTGCAATTTTAGCAACTTGAGAGACTGAGGTAGGAGGACCACTGTGAGTTCAAAACCAGATTGGGCTACTTAGTGGGTTCCAGGCCACCTAGGTAATAAGACCCTGTTTGTTTGTTTTAAAGGTCGGCAGGAAAGGTAACTCAGCAGTTAACACTACTGGCTGCTCTTCCAGAGAACCTAGGTTCAATCCCAGCACTCATAATGGCCAGGAGAGGGCACCAGATCTCATTACAGATGGTTGTGAGCCACCATATGGTTGCTGGGAATTGAACTTAGGACCTTTGGAAGAGCAGGCAATGCTCTTAACCACTGAGCCATCTCTCCAGCCCTCCACCGGACTTCTTAACGTGGATTCTAGGGGTTGAACTCAGGTTGTTAGACTTGTACAGCAAGATCTTTTTACCTGTGGAGTTACCTCCCAACCCCATGCTTCCCTCTTTCAGAGAAGAGTCTCATATATATATTTGTTTAAGATTGTAGGTTATCCCAAAGTAATGCTATTAGAAAAAAATGATTCGATGTTATATGTATACATGTCTGTATGTGGGCATGTTCATGTGAGTTTAGGTGCCCTTAGATGCCAGAGGCATCAGAACCCCTGAAACTGAATTGGCCGTCTGTCCAGCCTCGTGTTTATTATTAATTTTTTATACTTTTCTCCATGTGTATATGTGTATGTTTATGCATACATTTGTGTGGGGAGATGTCAAAGAAAGAGGTGTAGGAATCAGTTCTCTTCCTCCAATGTGGGCCCAGGGATTGAACTCAGGTTGTCAGGTACCATGGCAGGCATCTTTATTAAATGGCCCTCTAGGCATTTTTTTTCCTTTCTAACTTATTTTTGTAACATGGGACAGTGATTTTGTTAAGAACCATAGTTGAGGTGTGTTTGGGTGGTGGTGGTAGTGGTTTGTTGGGTAGCTGCTGAATACTGGAATGTTGGAACTAAAGGTTTTTAAACAAAGAGAATGACATTAAAACTTACTCTGTGTGTCTCTTTAGTTTGCAGTATAAAGATTAACATACTTCCTGGGCTGGAGAGATGGCTCAGTGGTTAAGGACACTGACTGCTTTTCCAGAGGACCCATGTTCAATTTCCAGCACCCACATGTCAGCTGTCTGTAACTCTGGGATCTAACACCCTCTTGTGTACAAACAAAGGCAAAATACCCATACATATAAAATAAAAATAAATCAGTCTTAAACTAGGTAGTGGTGGTGCATGCCTTTTAGTCCCAGCAGATGGATCTTGTGAGTTGCAGGCCACCTGGTCTACAGAGTCAGTTCCTGGACAGCCAAGGATACACAGAGAAACCATGTCTTGAAAAACAACAAAAATATCAGCCTTTAAAAAACAACATGCTGAGCCAGACGTTGGTGGCGTCTTTAATCCCAGCCCTTGGGAGGGAGGCAGAGGCAGGTGGATCTCTGATTTTGAGGCCAACCTGGTTTACAGAGCGAGTTCGAGGACAGTCTCCAAAGCGACAGAGTAACCCTGTCTCGAAAAAACAAAACAAAAAACAACCCCCCCCCAAAAAAAAGAGTCAACATTCTGTTTATAAAAGGTTAATCTATGGTTCATGAAAATAGAAACTAATCAAATTAAGCTGATATCAGCATGTATTCACTCATTTGAGAGTCTTTTACATATGAATAAGTATATGTCTAGTTGTTTTCAAGTTTGTCATACTCTTTCCCATTTTGTTCTTATGTATATGGGTGTTTTGCCTACGTGTATGTCTGTGTACCACATGTGCACAATGCCTCCCAGAGTCCAAAAGAGGCCATCCATCCCCTGGACTGGAGTTGCAAACAGCTGTGAGCTGTGGGTGTTGGGTAGAGGCAGTCACCATCAGCTCTTACCGTACTTTCTTTTACAGCAACTTTTTTCTGGGTATAGTGGTTCACGCCTATAATTACAGATTTTGGAAAGCTGAGGCAGAAGGTTCTGAGTTCAAGGCTAGACTGGACTTATAAGAGCCTGACTGAAGGTTTTTTTTTTAAATTTTTTTTTTTAGGGTTTATTTAACTTTATGTGCATTGGTGTGAAGGTGTCAGATCCCCTGCAACTAGATCTTCAGACAGTTGTGAGCTGCCATGTGGGTGCTGGGAATTGAACCCGGATCCTCTGAAGAGCAGTCAGTGCTCCTAACCACTGATCCATCTCTCCAGCCCCATGACTGAAGTTTTTTTTTTTTATTTTTATTATGACATGCTATCTAAGTTATCAATAAACATTAAATAATGTTTATTTGATATAAAGTAATGGTTATATAGTCTTCTATTTTAAACCGCCCTGTGATTTATTCTTTACGTATGTTCTTTCCTATACAGTACCTGTACATTTATACTTCTTATATACACTTATGTACAGTAACTATCTTTGTATATGCACTCTATATAGAATAGCTTTAGATCTGAAAAGTTCATCCAGTT